TCCCTTCCAACTCGGTTAATCTGTTAAGAGTGTCTGTCCAGGCTCTTCTTAAAAACCTCCAGTGGTGTAGCGCCTACAACTTCTGAAGGCAAATAAGACACACATAAGGTGATCTTCCCGAGGCCGCGGAGGAAATGCCCTTTTAGCGGTCTGCGTGGCTTTACCCAGCAGACGTTAAGAGCAGCAGGGAAGCCTGCGTGAATCCAACAGCTGATCCGTCACCTTCGGCTGAAATTGGGGAAGTTATAAATAGAGACTTGAATCGTTACAGGCTTCCAAGCAGAAGAGTACCCTTTGCTGGAGAAGCAGGACACAGCCAATTGGCTTGCTCTGCCATCCAATTTCTCTAACATAAACTGCCTGCTGATTGTCAAGATGTTGAGCGGCTCTGATTTGACGATGCCGCCGTTTCAGGGAGGTGTTTAATCTATTAGCCTCTTGCCTGAAAAAGGAAATGGGAAGGAGACAGTGGCTTCTCCCCACAGGACGCTCGAGAGGCTCTTCACCTGTTTCGGCATCGCAAGATGAATCGGCAAAAGACAATGTAGGGCAGGGGTGTCAAGGCCCGCAGGCTGGATCCGGCCTGTGAGATGTTCAGATCTGGTCCATGGGACCCCGCCCTGGGAACAGTGAAGGACCGGCCCGTGGTACATCTGCCAGCAAAAACGGAGCTCAGGACGGCTGCCCAAAGCCCTCCTGGGCTCCGTTTTTGGCTTCGGTGGCCCCCCGCAGCCCTTTGTCAGCTCTGTTTTCACTGGCCGTGGGCTGCAGGAGGCAGTCGCAGCAGGAAACGGAGCCTTGGAGGGCTTCATGAGGCCTCGCCAAGGTCTACTTTCATTGGCAGAGGGCTGCAGGAGGCTCTCGCAGCAGGAAACAGAGCCTTGGAGGGCTTCATGAGGCCTCGCCAAGGTCTATTTTCACTGGTCGTGGGCTGCAGGAGGCTCTCGCAGCAGAAAACGGAGCCTGGGACAGCTTCATGAGGCCTCACCAAAGTCTCCTTTCATTGGCAGAAGTTTGCAAGAGGCCATCGCAGCAGAAAATGGAGCCTGGGAGGGCTTCATGAAGCCTCGCCAAGGTCTATTTTCGCTGGCAGAGGGCTGCAGGAGGCCATCGTGGCAGAAAATGGAGCCTTGATGAGTGACGTTGAGCTGGCCATGCCCCCTGGCTCCCAAAGGCCAAACACAACCCTGATGCATCCCTCAATGAAATCAAGTTTGACACCCCTGATGTAGGGATAAGGAGCAACGTTCTTACGTGGCTAGAAGGAATCACCAGTCAGCAGTGGCCTGTCCCTGAACACCTGTCCTCCAAAGCGGGAATAAGAAACCACAACACCCAGAAGTCCCTGCCATTAACAGCATAGTTTGGAGACAATAGAAATTGGTTACCTTCCAATGTAACCGGAGTCAGACCCGAAGGAAGACAGGAAAGCTCTCCGAACTTGGATTCAATCCACGGCCGATGAACCAGTCTGGCTGGTCACCCTGTTCGTTAGGGCGGGAGTCTCCAACCTTGGCAACTTTTTAAAGACTTGTGGAATTCGACTTCCTGAATTCCTCAGCCAGCTCCCAGAATTCTGGGAGTTGAAGTCCACCAGTCTTAAAGTTGCCAAGGTTGGAGACCCCTGCCTTAGGGAGTTGCTTGCTAACACGGGCCAAGGGATGCTTGCAGCTTCAGCTGCAGAAACAACGGCCAAACGAGGATCCTTGCTTCCCCCCAAGGAGCCGAAAACACAAATTTGCAGAAGTTGTGGAATTCACGTGCGGGGGGAAGCTCTTGTTTCAGAGGTTTACGCGGGACAGAGGGTGTGGGGTATAACAAACTTCTTATCCCTACAGCTCCCCCCCCCCCCCCCCAGGCATGGGGAAGGGGGGGGGGGGGGAGGCCGGGGGGGTTTCAAAAAAAAGGGAAGGGGGGGGGGGGGGGCTGGTATCTGAGAGTGTGCCTAATCTGTGTAAAT